AATGCAGACACATAAGCACAAACAATATACAACTTAAGTTTATTAAGTTTTATAATATCGAACTTTCAGAAAAGGTTTTCTGCATTGATTAAATTAAATCACAGGAATTTATTATATTCATGAACCATAATAAATGATGATTGTTTTAGTTTGAGGTTTGAGTACCTGGATGAGGCAAAGCCTTCTGGTCACTGGCCGAGCAGACAACTCGTACGATGAAGAAGGCAATAGGAGGATTATCCCTTGTCAGATTTGAAATTTCTTGGTATAATCTAACGTGCAACAACCTGTTTTTCTCCACAGATAAATGCCTTCATATCACAGAACAAAAACAAAAAACAAGATCAATCTTAATGAAAAAGAAACAAGTTTGTCTCCATAGCCATCAAAATTTCACTCAAACCCATAATTTTGGCAGGGTCATAAACGAAGGTTAAAGTTCAAATAATCAACCAGGAAACAAGATTTTCTGCATGCTTATTAAAATTCAAATTCTTTAGTGCTTTAATGCATACATACGTACCATTCATTCAGTACCAAAAAATACCTTGTTGAAAGATGAAACCCACGGCATAATTATAAACAGTGATATGGACGAAAGCAGTAGGGGTTTTGTTTATGGATTGATGGAGGCGCGAGAGTCAACGGTGATGGCGCGACACTGGAACCAACGGCGTGAATGGTGGCCACTGCAAGGCCGATTGCGGTGTTTTGTTTGTGAGGGAGAACGAAGGAAGATATGGAGGATAGATGGAGACGAGAATAGGGCTCAAGATTCGAATATCTAATTTGGGGATTTAATATCAATTTGTGACGTTTGTAATCCAAACGCCACTATAGTTATATTATATCGCGACGTTTTCTATAAACGCCAATATAGTCCATATATTGCGGCGTTTTTATTTAAAAATGCTCCAAAAGTACAAATATATTACGGCGTTTTGTGAACAACCGCTACTATATCTTACACCTATTACGGCGTTTATATAAAAACGCCGCTAAAGTACTATTCTATGTCGGCTTTTGTTATAAACGCCACTACTATCCAAATATTTTGTGGCGTTTGTGTTTAAAAACTCTACTATATATTACAACTATTGTAGCGTTTGTACAAAAACGCCGCTATAGTACAATTTATTAGCGGCGTTTTTATACAAACGCCACTATAGATTAACTATATTGCGGCGCTCTTAGATATAAACGCCGTAAAAAGTCAGTTATATAGCGACGTTTTTGGATACAAACGTCGCTAAATACCTTTATGTAAATAAATATTTGATTTCTTCTCTACATAAACTAAAATTAATACCATGTATTTTTATGTAATTAACAACAACTACTCATTTTAATTAAGACATAACTGATGCATAAAACTACTTAACAACAAAATACATTATAATTTATAAACATTAATTAAAGTTATGCATAAACATTCTTCACCATATTACACCTATTGTGGCGTTTGTACTTTAAAGTTATGCATAAACAGTCTTCACCATAAAATTAATACTTAACAACAAAATACATTAAAATTTAGAAACATTAAAGTTATGCATACAAAGTCTTCACCATATTGTTCACTTGAATTTATTCTTTACTGCACCTTCGTGGGGAAAGGACATAAGAAAGTTGTTTTCCTTGTTTGACGACGCATCGTTGCGTTTTTCCTCCGTGTAAACTCTATATGGAGAAACTCTTCGTCCATTTCACCAAATAAACCTCATACATCTGGTTCACCAAGAAGAGTCCTTACGCGGTGCAGTGCTTCACTTGAAACATATAACAACCTTCCACCTACAGTATGAAACTTGATTAGAGGTGGCTTTGGAACTGAATCAAACATTAAAAAAAATTAAATAGAAGATAGACAAGTTTACTTGGAGTATCAGTAGAGGCAACGTCGTCTTCATTGAGGATAGATACTGATTTTGCAATTGAAGATTCTTTCAACGCTACAGATTTAGCAATTTCGGTTCTAAACATCGGGTCTTTATCCACTTCTTTATCATCGTTCTCAATAAGCTTTGAGCATCCTACATGCGTGCGATCTATGAAATTTGGGAGTACAAAATAAAAATATAGTGGCATAAACTTTCAGTGATTAATTATTACCTTCAATTAGGAGATCGGCCATGGAAGGGTATTTTGCAATATGAGGGCCTTTCGGGTCATCATCGACTTTCGACAGCAAGTTCGGACTGATAGCCTCCCAACGATAATTCGATCTATCGTCAGAGCAAAGACGCCACATGGACATTCCGACGATAATTTGTCTTACTGAATGAAACACCTATTATTTGTACCACAACCATTTGTTCAAGTTTTGAAAAGCTATTATTATCATATTCAAAAGCTATTATTTTTGTATTCGAAAGTAGAAAAACACAGCTCCCAAGCAGTAAACCAGTAAAACAATATGTATAGATATTCTTTTCTTATTCGAAAGATATTATTTTTCTCTATTACACCAGCTTTCTGGGTTTTCCCCATTTTCAGAATACCAACAAAAAAATGAAAAAGTTTTGTACTTAGAGAAGGGATCAAATCGTGCAATCGTGAGATAAATGTTCGCCGGTGAGAGGACCGATTTGGTCGCCGAGACAAACAGAAGAGGACGTCGCTTGGAATCGGATGAGTGCTGTTGTTATACAAGAGAAATCCCTTTTAGGGAAATAGCGTTGAAATGAATTTAGGGATCGAGCAGGTGAAAATAGTGGAGCATATATTGACCCTTTGGCGGCATTTTTTAAACAAACGCCACTGTAGTACACGTTTTTGCGGCATTTTTTTAAAAACGCCACTATAAACAAACATATGGCGGCGTTTGTTATACAAACGCCGCTAAATTATTAATCTATTGCGGTGTTTTTTGCACAAACGCCGCTATAAACAAACCTATTGCGGCGTTTGTTGATAAACCCCGCTAAATTAATTCTCTATAGCGTCGTTTATTGGACAAATGCCACTATAAACAACCTTGTTGCGGCATTTTTATACAAACACCGCTAAATTACTATTCTATTGCGGCTTTTATTGAAAAAACACCACTGTAAACAAATCTATTACGGCGTTTTAGTTATAAATGTCGCTAAAGTATAATTTGGTGGCGTTTGGATTGTTAACGCCGCTACATGCTTAAATTTTGTGGTGTTTACCCTAAAAATGCCGTTATAGAACACTTTTGCTGTAGTGGGTTAATGTGGACGGGAAACAAAGGAAGCAAGCATTGGGTTGTCAGAAATCATAATGGAATGGTGATAGGAGGTCTTGCTTGTAACATCAGGGGACTATAATCCGCGGAACTAGTTGAGGCTAGAGCCTTTTTAGAAGGCATCAGCTCGACCGATGAGAATACATAAAAAAAGTCTAAAATATATTATAGTTTTAAATTTCAAGGGACGCATATCCCAATCCATCCCGACAACTACTCTCAACTTGTTAGAGATGCTTCAAATCATAATGTGATTTTTATCGGGGGACAGACGAATCTAGTGCCTAACGAGTTAGCTCGTTAGTCGTTCTCTGGTATAAGTCCTTTATGGTTTATTTCTGATGTACATATATGTATTGCAAACATTGTAGTTTTGGACGTCATTAATAGTTAAACAATTTAATTTTCCTAAAAAAACTAAGTATATAAAATAGTATAAAAATCTTAAACGAATCAAACACAAGGTTATTTATACAATTTAGACAATAAACCTAAAACAAGTTTAGTTGTTGAAATCCTTAGTGAAGAGTTCAACATCTACACTAACACTAGAGAAGGGCCGGTCCAATGAGTTGTAATGCCTTGGGCGAGATAATAATTTTATGCCCCTATACTTGTACCGTATAATAGACAAAACATAAATACTTTTTTTATGTCCATCCTTTTACCTTACACTTATTTATTTATTTATTTATAATCCACCTTGAAATATACTCATTCACCAGTATCCTAAGGGATAAAGGGAAAAAAACAACCCATTTTCTAACCATTATGATATGGGTTCTAAGAATAGAGGGTAAGTACTCTTTCAACTAACAAGTCGGTTCTTCAACATGATCAGAAGCTTCTTCATTTATAATGCTTTACCAGTATCCGTAGATTATCAGAAGCATATAAAAATCTACAGCATGCCATAGTTCGAGCACTAAAATATCCTTCACAAATTACACCTACACCAAGTTGCTTACACCTATGTATCGAAAAGGAAAACTAGTTTTTGGCAAGTCAAATTGCCTTTTAAGTTGGTTTAAAACTATCTTCACAGTGCAACTTGTACATCGTATAAAGTAAAACAAATTCAAATCTGTTTGAAGAATGAAGTAGTCCTATAATCAACAATTCAAAACTATGAATAAAAATGATTTCTTTGTACATAGAACCAAAATCAACAAAAAATCGTCCAAGTCCAATACGTTTCCCAACAATAATGAATCTATTGAACCAAGAAAAGGAAACCCACATGCTGATGCCCTCCTCAAACATACTGCCCTGGGCTAAAGCTCATCTGGCACATGTATTGGGTCGGACCTAACTAGAGATGGTTGTGGAATCGTATAATTTATGAAATTTTATAATCTAGATTTGAACTAAGAAAACTCGAAATTAGAAATATATATTTTTTTAGAAAAACTATTAACTTGTGACAGTAACTATTGCTAGAAAGTCAAAACAACAGACAAAATATTAGTAACGAAAACAAATTGTTTCTAAAATATCTACAGTGACGTATATATTCCGTTTGAGAAGGCTTCTCTTGTCCTAAGTGATGTCTCCTTAACTATCACTGAGGTCCTATACTTAAATTTTCCCCATGTATATAATCATTTAATTTCATTTTCTTGAATAAGATAGATATAAGGTTTTGTCTCCTTTGCATTGTTAAACCAATAGATAATGAGAAAGGGAAAGCATTCCTCTACTCGAGTCTTGAAATTGACCTTTCCCCCCTCTTTACAGGCACAATATCATGATTGGATAAAAATTTTAGAAGTTATTTCAAGACAGGATATATATTGAAATTTCCCATTCAAGACCTGTGGTGCCAGTTTCAAAGGAGTCTTATTTCTTATGGTGGCGTTATGCAGCTCAGGCGGCACTGCAACAGAGGAAAATGTTGTACAGACTACAGAGTAACTTTTTTTTTTCTTATTTACATATACAAATATTTGCATTTGATAATTACTCTAGGAGTACCTTTTGCTTGATAATCTTAATATTTACCCTTGAAGTCAACCTTTTTCTTCGTTAGCAGTTGCATCTCTTTGCCATCTGCTGTTTGGGTAAATGCTTTTCCCCATTAAAATGTTTATTTATTTCAGTTATAGATTATCTTGGGATAGAATTTCGCATATGTGCAAGCTTCGTCGGCGGTATGTTCACTTGTATGCAAGTTTGCTACAACAATCATCAAGTGTTGACAAGTCAGAAGTTAGAGACATTGAGATGGGTCTTGATGCAAAAGCAATTCTTCTATGGAGGTAAGAATGCTTAGCTTTGCCTAACTTCTATGCTATCCCTCTTTGAAATGAAGTAAAACTTGGTCATTACTGGGACAATGATCTACATGCTAGACGTCCCAATCTTTTCCTAGTTCTGGAAAAACATGGTTTAGTGAGTTGATGTATTGTCTGGTAATAATTGCAAAAATTCAACTAGACAGGGTTACTCTACTGTGAGCTATCATCATGATCATGCGTTATCAGGGGAGAATCCGGGGCTAGGCCGGGGGCTTGGAAAATTTTATTTATTTATTTTTTATATGAATTGGAGGTCTCATTAGAAAACCCTTTCATATTTACTAGGACACCAAGGGGTATTCTAGAAAAAAGCAGAAAGGGGAAAAGAGTTCAACAGATTTTATTGAAATATAAAAGAACAATACAAAGTGCTTAGAACTAAAGATTGTTTGTCCCAAAAAATAAACCTTATAACCCTACATCAGAATCTTCTACAACCCAAAAAGAAAGCCACTATATTAACCAATTCCTATCTTGGCTAAAGCATCTGCTTCTAAGTTGCCGGTCTAGCTATCCAGCGGAGAATACCCTCTTTACTCCTAATTCTATCAGTTGTTTCCTTAGATATTGTAGCATAAATGCCAGGACACTCATCCAAATTATTTATTCACTCCACACAGGTTTTACAATCACTTTCAATGATCAACCGTCACTTAGAGCTCCACCTCGAGGCTTCGAAATAGCTGAGACCTTTTTTAATGGCCAACAATTCCACCAAAGCTGGGGGCCTAGACAAGAAGGCTCTGAGAAAGTCCCTAGTACTGTACTGGAGTTGTCTCGGAGAATCCCACCTACAACCACTTGCTTTCCAATCACTATTTATTGCCGCGTCCACATTTAATTTGAAGAAACCCTCTAGTGGGGGGTCCAAGTGAGATTTTGGAACAAAGCAAAGATCCTCTAAAGAAGGGTCACCAATTAGGGAGTCCAACAGAATAGGAGTTTCAAGAAATTTGGCTAGAAACCAAGCTGGTAGTTTAAATCTAGCTGTGAAAAAAATCTAGGTTGTGTCTAACACTCCCTTTTCAAAGGCAATAGCATTCCTACTTTTCCATATCGTCCATAGCACCACCCCAAGAATGAACTTCCAAATGGATGATTGCAGTACCAAGTTCTTCCAAGCTGGAAGAAAGAATAAGGCGTTTTCGTGCAGGACTGAGGATATTTCAACGTTCCAAATCCAACCCCTGTTTCCATGCTCTCCAAGCTGAGGTAATCTTCCATTTTGGTTGACAGAAAGGGCAAAGAGTCTTGGAAACATACTCTTTAGGGGAGCTTCCATTATCCAAATATCGTGTCAGAATAAGATATTCTCTCCATTTTCCACATTAATTTGTAGGAGATTGTAAAAGCTGGAGTCAAAATCATCATTCTTAAAATGATTGTTCAGAATTCAACTCCAAATCCAAGAAGCATGTGCTGATTTTTTATTGCTAAACATCAAGGTTCTAATGTCAAGATTATACTTGATGCAGATCAATTTTCTCCACCCAGAATCTCTTTCATTTGCAAACTTCCAAGACCATTTCCCAATTAAAGCTCTATTCATTAGATTAAGATCCACAACTCCTAAACCTCCACTGTCTTTTGATTTACACATTGTTGACCAGTTACTCCAATGTATCCTATCCTTCTCTGCTCCTCCCCTCCATAAGAATCTAACCATTATGGTATTTAGCTTCCTGTTAACACTCGAGGAAAGCCTGAAAATCGACAAGTAGTACGTTGGGAGAGAGCATATAACAGATTTTAGGAGAACATGTCTTCCAGCCAAGGATACAGTTGCTGCTTTCCAACCATCGATTTACTATGGAAAAATACCAACTGCAAACCAATAGCAGGAGCCCATTCTTTAACAACTTCTTTATTGTATTAATCCCAAATAATATGCTTTTGGAAAAGCTCAATTGAAGTCCGACATTACTTCAAACACACATAGAACTCTCTCAGCATTTCTAATCTGGATGATCGATGCGCTGTAGAAAATACATTCTATTTGAAAAAAATTCTAACTTGGAGAAATTAATTAATAATGGTAAAAAAATGCAACTCCAGTCCCTTCAAATTTAATTAGATCAATTTAGTCCCTATTAGCCCTTCAATTAATGGAAAAATTGCATTTTGGCCATCGCAAGAATTAATAATTCAATTTAGTCATTTTAACTCAACTTTTTTACCTCTGCCCCCTCCAATTAAAAAATCTCAGTCCCCAAGAAAAAATTCCTAGCTCCTCCCCTGTGCATTATTAATTATTGCATGAAGTTATTAGTCTTGGAGGTTGATTACTTTAGGTTTGTTTTAGGTAAAATAATTTTCGGAGTCCTATATTTGGTGTGATTTAAGTTGTAACTACCACTACCAAAGAGGGAATATCCGTAAGTTCTGATTGCTTAAAATTAGATTATAGTGAAACCAGCAGTCATGTTTTCTGTCATGAAAGTTGGACATAGCTCCACTAATTATGTACCAGTACATGCCCTATAATATGAATATGCATTTGGAATGGGTGGACATGGGTTGAATGCCTCCGGAATCCAGATGTACCAGGAAAGTTTTTAAAAATGATTTTAGACCAGGGACAGATATGACCAGTCAAGCTACAGAACCTGCCATGGTTTACTAAAGGGAGAGATGCACCAGTATGAGTGTTTTCTGTTGGTCATAGTATTTTCTTTATGTTCATAGTATTTTCTTTATGTTCAAGTACTCATAGGATTAGTAATTGTTGGATTACCATATGTTCTATTTATATGATGATTTTTTCTTCAAACCAGGTATATATATATCTGTTATTAAAAGTGATCAAGGATATTAATATACAATTCATACTTCAACGTCTTTTTCTTCACTAATCAAATGGTCAACATTTTTCATTTTTACTTGGATCAATTAGGTTACTTGCACATGCCAAGGTTGAATCTGTAAAGTCAAAGGAAGAAGTTGAACAGAGAAGGCTTCAGAACAAAAGTTGGTATTCATTGATTTGGTATGTGGAAATATATATGAGAAGTTTACCTTGATATTTGTTATGATTTTCTTTTGAGCTTTTCCCCAAATATTAACTTTTGCAAATTCTGTTTTCCTTTAATCACAGGGGTAGACAATCTGAAGATGCGTCTGATGGGGATGCTTTGGGTGAATCGCAGTTAACAGAGGAAGGGTTGAGTAAAGAAGAGTGGCAGGCAATCAATAAGTTACTCGGTTACCAGTCTGATGAGGACTTGATGTCACATTCAGGGAAGGACTTGCAAAGCATGATCTGGTTTATAGTAATCATTTATATAAGTCAAGCTGCTGCAAGGATTATCGATAAAAACCAGACGGAGATAGTTTGCTGTAGATTTGAACTTCATGTGTCTGCTAAGTTTAAACACCGCAGTACCTACTGTGATGTAAGTTGAAGATTCTATGGTGTGTCAGCCCCTGAAGGTTCACTTGCTCAGGTTTGTTTGAGTAGCATGTTTGAGCTGATTCGTTCTGAAAGCTTCTTTGTTGATGACAACTAAAGCCTTCCCACTAAAATGAACACCATAGAGGAGCTTATATCCAGATCAACCTGCTCTTTTAATTTTTAAGATAGCTTTAATAGATTCAAACTGTATGCTATTTCCGGATAGGATGATATATACTTATATATATATAAGTATTCCCTTATGTTGGATTTTTTCTGCAGAGTGTTTGCACTGAGAAAAAGGTGAATGCATTAACCGCTATTTTTGTCCACGTAGGAGAGAATGTTGATCAGAGGTTGTCAGCTACAATTTCCCCTGCTATGTTATGGTAATTTCTTTGATCCATCTAGGATCAATCCCTTTGGAGCAATGGAGCTCTAGATTTTTTGATGCTTTCTCTGGAGACCCTTAGCTTTCCAAGGTGTGTCAATCTAATTATGGTTGAAAGTCCCTAGTTTCGGGTCTAAGATTCAAGCCTGTTGCTAAATTTATTGTCAACTTTTTGCACCCCGGTCCAATGTTTTATACTATAGTATTGTCTTTTGGAATAATCTATTATTAGCACTTTAATTGTGAATGCATTTGACAAGCGGTTCTTTACTTTTTCTACCATCTTGTAGTTAGTTCCGACATCTCTTAGGAGAAAGAAGATGAAGCTTGATAAATTCTCATGGCTTTTTGCAGGTTTTGAAGGACAGTTGTGATCGCTTTTTTGAGTTTGTGAAGAGTAGTAATGCAGTTAGTCCAACTGTTGCTTTGGAAACTGCCACTGCATTGCAGGTAATGAAACTAATACACCCACTGCGTGGGTGAAAGAAGTTAAATACACGAGTAAAAATAGGTTAAGGAATTTTGATGCAAGCATTGAAGCCTACTGTGTGTCCCACTGTTTCATATTTATTTTACATTAACTATAGAAGTAGGGGGTTATATTTTCAAAACAAATTAATCAAAAAATGTTTTTAATATTACATGTTTTATTATATATATATATATATATATATATATATTTAATGATATAATTTGGATATCGTGTCAATTCATTGAGTTGGTGTCAGTTGACTTAATGGCACCCTAGAAACAACTTCTATCACCCTTCGTGCTGCGTAATTATTTGAAACCATTGGTAGACGAGGATAGAAGAAGTGACGCGCCGGCCACAGGAGCAGTTTCAAACGGTGCTAGTCTGCTAGAGGAACAATGCAGGTTAATGATTGTTTCTACTTTCAATTGTGTTCTTCATATCTCAGTTGTTTGATCATTTTATTAGTTTCTTTTTTACTTGATATTATGTTTTATGCTTTGTATCTCATTCAATGGACCGATTGGAAGATGTACAATGGGGATAAAGCCATTCTGGTGAAAAGGGCTTGAAGTCGAGAAGCTTGTCTATGAAATCATTGTTTTCAATGGTTGGCTTTTCATATAATTTGTCAGAAAGCAATTTCCAAAAGATTGTGAAATTAGTTAGGAGACTTTGTAAAATTCTTAGTATCTATAATATCTAACTTTAAGGGATTAGTTTTTCTTAGAATTAGTTAATTTTCTAATTTAAAATTTTCTTAAGTCAAGTCTTCTGCTTGTATATATATTAGCATAATGATTCTATGAAGAATATATCAGAATTCAGTCAATTTCAACATGGTGTCAGAACTTTTTAAGTTCATTTCTAAAGTCTTTTTAATAGCCTTTTATTGTTTTCAACCCCTTCCTCGAGTAACTCAAAGAGAATATGGTGGAAGTTAGTGAAACCAACAACTCTGAGACTATTCTAGAAGTTTCAGTGAATGAAGGGAATTACTCAAACCCAATGAGTGACTTGAAGAATATACAAGCAATCTACAAATTAAATGGAAAGAATAACCTAAAGTGGTCTTAACTGGTTCGTACCTTCTTAAAGGGGATAGGAAAGTTGAGTCCCCTACTTGGGAATAGACCTAAAGAGAGGGATTATAAGTTTGATGCTTGGGATGAACAAGACTCAATGGTAATGTCTTGGTTATGGAACTCCATGGTGTCATAAATCAGTGATACATGCATGTTTCTCAACACAACCCAAAAAATATATGAGGTTGTGGAACAAGCTTATTCAAAGGTTCGAGATGCTGCCGAAATTTATGAAAGCAAGACGCATTCATCTACCAAGCATGGAAGTAAATCAATCATAGAATATTCCAATCTGTTGCAAAGTCTTTGGTAAGAGATGGATTATTACCAATGCATCTAGATGAGATGTAGTGAAGATGCAGAACTCCTAAAAAGGTTTGTCAAAAATTATTGAATCTATGATTTTTTTGCTGGACTAAACGTTGAATTTGATGCAGTAAGAGTCCAAATTCTTGGAAAAAATGATCTTCCCTCACTAAATGAAACGATTGCAATTATTTGAGCTGAGAAAGGAAGAAGAGGAGTTATGATTAAGAATAATCAAGTAGAGAGTTCAACCTTAGTCATAAGAACTGTAACTGTGAGGAGACCTGGCTTGGAACAACCCATTAATGAAGATAGTAGGTAGACATAACTTACTAGGCCAATCAACAGGGACTCCTTGTTGTGCACCTATTGCAAGAAACCTTGTTATACGAAAGAGAAGTGTTGAAAACTTCATGGGAAACCACATACAAGTAAGAGTTTTTTTTAAATGTGAACAATCTAAGGGGTAACGACAAGCGTATACAACAAAATAGCTGGGGAGACCCTCAAGAACCACCTGTTGAATTCAATAGAGAATAAACCAAAAAACCAAAAAATTATTGGGGACAATGGAGAAGCCTTCTTCAACAGGTACTTGTACTCTGATATTCTTAGGTATATCCTCTTCTCAAAACTCTAAAGCCTCAGATATATTCACCCAAAGTTCTTGGGTAATTAACTTAGGGGCTACAAACTACATAACAAACTCCTCTCACAGATTTATCACCTATACACCATGCCTTAGTAATTAAAAAATATCAGTAGTAGATGTCATTGTAATTACAGTGGTTGGTCAGGGGATATTGTTGTAAGTGAAACTCTCACACTAAAAAATGTCTTTCATGTACCAAACGTTTCGATGTCTAGGGGCTATCCACTATTCCAAACATATCTGGGGTCCAACGGTTTGTCTCTTTTATTGATGATTGTACCCGAGTTTCTTGGATATTCCTTCTAAAACAAAAATATGATGTGAGCTCTTGATGCAGGGGGATCCGAGACAGATGATGCTGAGCTGTCAGATTGCACGTTGATGGCGCTGAGATACCATGAGTTGGCAGATCAGCGCAAAGGCGGGAATTGATTGTGACATGTTCCTCATTGGGGTCGTTTTGAGTATGTTTCAGTCTTTTGGCCATAACTTTGGCTACATGTGTCAGAATCGCGCATAAGACCCCAATCTGGAAAGCTCTTTTCGACGCGCACGCTCTCCACATGAGCTACGCTCCATGTGGCCTTTTTTTTCAACCTCAAATTCTGCCGTTTTCCCCTCCGAATCACTAGATTTAGTTATTTTTTACTATTTATGGTAATATTTCGATTGTTAATTAGGAAGTCAATTTAAATCCGATTTAGGCCGGATTTTTGGGAGATTGCTTATTTTATTTCGAATTTCAATTTAGAGTGATTTTTGGGATTTTCCTATTTTTGGCAAAATTCGAATAAAGACGATTTTTTTGCTATAACAGTCCGGCTTGTGGACTGCTTTTTGGATTGTTTTTGATTTTATAATATTTTATTAAACCCTAGAGACTTTTTTTCTCTGATTTTTTGGGCGAATTTTCTCTTGTGAATCATCTGTCGGAGCTAGCCTACAGGATAATCACTATTCTGTCTGGCGTCAGTTGGTGTCAGAGCTTCAACATCTTCTTGGGAAATTTCACCAGTTTCAATGGCTGGAGGTCGTGGTCGTGGTCGTCGTGAGCAGGTTCCGAATGAGGAAGCCCAACGCCGTGATCGCAGCGTTCAGGATGTGATGATTGCGGATTTGCAGAGGCAAGTCATAGAATTAACCCAGCGCCTGGCGGCGCAGGATTTCGAGGATCGTGAGGCCACTGATCACGATACCAATTCCACTTTCAAAAACCCATATCACAATCGCGTAGGATTCCGGGGCGCAGGATTCCGGGAGCACCGTGGTCGGGAGGAGCGTCATGGAGACCTCGGTTTTCGGGTCGATCTCCCTGAGTTTTCTGGTATGTTACAGGCCGAGGGATTCGTGGATTGGATTAATGAAGTGGAGCGTATTTTTGAATATAAAGAAGTCCCCGATCGTGTGAAAGTGAAACTGATCGCCATCAAACTCAAGGGCAGAGCATCTGCGTGGTGGGAACAGTTACGACGTTCACGAGAAAGACAGGGCAAAGCCAAGATCACTGATTGGGAGAAGATGAAAAAGAAGATGAAGGGCCACTTCCTTCCCTTCGGCTACACGCAAACCTTATTTCGGCGACTTCATGCGTTGAGGCAGGGCGCGCGATCAGTCGATGATTACACGGAGGAGTTTTACCAATTGGTCGCCCGGAACGATTTATCTGAGTCGGAGGAGCAGATGGTGGCGCGATATTTGGGGGGTTTACGCCAGCCCTTGCAATATGTCCTCAGCCTTCATTCATTGTGGAGTGTTTCGGAAGCATACCAGCGTACACTTGCTGTTGAAAAATAGCAAAACAGGAGACCAGTGATCAGGAGCGATCACAACAGTCGACCAGTTCGCCCTCAAGAGTCTCGTCCTGCTCAGCAGCCACCGCAGGGTAATTCTAACCCTACTATTAGATGTTTTCGTTGTGGTGAACAAGGGCATAGGGCGACTGATTGCAGGAAGCCTGCTAGTCAAAAAAGCAAAAATTTGTTGATTGAGGAAAACGTGGAAGACGAGACTGAGGAGATTGGCGAACCCATGTATGACGATGATGAGACTGATGATGTGATGTATGGAGATGGTCATGAGACTCTGGTCGTTCGCAAGAGTCTACTTACCCCCAAGGGCGATTCAGGGGACGATTGGTTGAGAACCAATATTTTCCACACGACTTGCACAGTTGCAGATAAAGTCTGCAAAATGATCATTGACAGCGGCAATTGTGAGAATGTAGTGTCCGAGGAGGTTGTCCAGAAATTGCAGTTGAAGACGGACCGTCATCCTAAGCCATACAAGTTATCATGGCTAAATAAAGACAGTGAGGTAACAGTTGATAGGTGATGCCTCGTGTCTTTTTCAATTGGTAGAAAATATTTTGATAATGCCTGGTGTGATGTTGTGTCTATGGATGCGTGTCATATATTGTTGGGTCGACCTTGGCAGTATGATCGCAGTGTCATTCATGATGGACGGAAGAATACATATTCCCTTAGCATCAAGGGAAAAAAGATTGTGTTGGCACCCCGGCGGGAAGGACTTACTCCTACCCCAGTAACCCATAATACTAATCTGCTTTCTATGTCCAGGTTTTTAGATGAGATTGAGCATGGCGACGTGGTCTATGCCTTGCTACCTTGCGAGAACAATGCAGTAGACGTGGATACAGATTTACCAGTAGAGGTGCAGCGGCTGCTAGCAGAATTCTCTAACTTGATGCCAGAGGATCTTCCTCCTGGACTACCACCTATGAGGGATATTCAGCATCAAATTGACCTTGTTCCTGGGTCAAGTTTGCCAAATCGACCAGTATATCGCCTCAGTCCCAAGGAGGCCGAAGAGTTGCAGCGACAGGTGGAAGAGTTGTTGGAGAGGGGCTATATCCGAGAGAGTATGAGCCCATGTGCAGTCCCTGCTCTGTTAGTGCCAAAGAAAGATGGTTCTTGGCGTATGTGTGTTGACAGCCGAGCGATCAACAGAATTACAGTGAAGTACCGGATTCCAATTCCCCGTCTAGATGATATGTTGGATCAACTATCTGGTTCTAAGATCTTCTCAAAAATTGACCTTAAGAGCGGTTACCACCAAATCAGAATAAGGCCTGGAGATGAGTGGAAGACGGCGTTTAAAACGCCACAAGGGTTGTATGAGTGGATGGTCATGCCTTTTGGGTTATCCAATGCGCCCAGTACATTCATGAGATTTATGCATCAGGTCTTGCGGCCTTTTATGGGGAAATTTGTTGTAGTTTACTTCGATAATATCCTCGTTTATAGTCCGACATGAACTTCACACTTCGATCACCTCCGTGTTGTTTTTGAGATGCTGAAAACGGAGTGCTTGTTTGTCAATCAAAAGAAGTGTTCTTTCTTCA